ATTAATTAACAACATGGTTTTGTCACTGGTAGGTCCACACTAACTAATATCTTGTTATTTCAAAATAATATAATTAATTCAATAAAGTGACACTCAAATGGATGCTGTGTACTGATTTTAATAAAGCCTTTAACATAATAAATCATGCAGCTATTATAAGGCAAGGAGAAACCAATACACTAAATATTCTCAAGATATTATGACTATGGCAAGTTATGGAAAATAAAAGGCCACTAGTCCGTGGCAAACCTTAAATAGTCAAGAGGTGCTAAGAATCTCCACGTTAACTGCTAGAAACTACCCGAAAGTGGAAAACAAAAATGACACATTGACAATTGGAACCTGGAATGCAAAAACTCTCTGTATGCCAGGAAAATCTCATATCGTGAGAGAAATGAAAAGAATAGGAGTCAACATTTTCTGAGTCAGTTAAGTTAGGTGGCCTGGATCTGGACAGACAAACATCGATAACTATGTGATATACTATGCTGGTAATGACGATCCTCATCATTATAACGGGGTGGCATTTATTGTTGACGGTAAAAGCAGTTAATGTGTAAAAAGCTTTATACCTATATCTGATAGAGTAGCTATGCTACAAATTAATACCTCTCCTCGAAATATTAAGTGTATCCAAGTATATGCTCCTACAGGAGGAAAATCAGAAAGAGAAATACGAGAATTCTACCAAGAGATCGCACAGCTCAAAAAGATTGTAAGGAACAATGCTGTAAACATTATTATGGGAGATTTTAATGCCAAAAGTAGGTGAAGGGTGGAACGAAGACGTAGTCGGAAACTTTAGTTTGGGCCAAAGAAATGATAGAGGAGAAATACTGGTCCAATTTTGCCAAGAAAAGAATCTAATAATCGCAAACACCTGGTTTAAACTACCAAAAAGAAGATTATATATATGGAAAGCACCTGGAGATAATCAAAACCACATAATAAGAAACCAGATTGATTATATATTAATTAACAAGCGTTATAGAAATGGAATCAGGGCAGTTACAACGTACCCCGGAATGGACATCGGTTCCGACCACAATCCTGTTATCGGTAAAATCTCAATTAAAGTGAAGACAATCAAACACAGAAAGAAGATAAAACCTAGCCTCGAAAAACTTAAAGATCCAGCAGTACAGGCAGAGATAGAGAAAATACTCAATGGTACACTCAAAGAAAAATTCAGTGAAGCGCCCGCGGTAGCAGAAGAATCAGTAGAAAGTATTTGGCACACCTTCAAAACAATAATCACAACTATATAAACAGAACAACTACAAGACAACACATGAAAAACAAAGAATACATGGATGACAGAAGAAATCCTAGAACTGATGGACGTAAGAAGATCTTACAAAAACCGCAATGAAGTAAAATATAAAGAAACCCGGAGAACCATCCAAAACAAAATCAGGAAAGCCAAAGAAGAATGGATGAACAGCAGATGTAAGGAACTGAGGGAATTACTAAAAAAACATGACTACTTCAATGCATACAAAAAGATTAAGAAAGTCACAAATATGAAGAAAAAATTCACTACAATAACTCTAGTATGTAGATGATAACAACCAAATATTATCTAGCCCAGAAAATATAGGAAATATATGGGAAAAATACATCGAAGATCTGTTGGATAACGAGAGAACAGAACCACAAATGAATATAGTACAAGACACAATACTTGATATATTAACATCGGAGGTTACAAAAATAATTAATACGGCAAAGCCACGAAAAGACTTAGGTCCAGATGATATAATATGTAATATAATATGTAGAGATGATAAAACTTATCAATGAAGAAAATATTCAGTCCTTAACACTACTATTTAACAAAATATCACTGGAATATTCCCAGAAAACTGGCTTAGATCGACATTTATACTTATGGTCTAAGAGAAATAAAGCAAATAAATGCACATAGTTCAGATTAATTAGCCTAATGAGCCATTTTGGCTTCATTTGAAAATTTTACTCAAAATTTTACATCAACGTATATACAGAGAATGCGAAAGAAATCTGAGCGACAATCAATTTGGATTTCGTATGGGGCTTGGTACAAGGGAGGCATTATTTGGCCTCCAGATAGCACTAGAAGAATGCCGAGATCAACGAAAAGGCGTGTTTCTCTGTTTTGTCGACTACGAAAAGGCGTTTGATAGAGTTAAACACACAGAACTCATAGAAACCCTAACACAACATGGTATAGACCATAATACGGTTGCCCTTATTAAAAAACTATATTGAGATCAAATGGCGTCGTTTAAAATAGACAATCGTATTACAGCAAAAATGTCAATAAAAACAGGGGTTCGCCAAGGCTGTGTACTTTCTCCAGTATTGTTTAATATATATATTCCGAAAGGACCTTCCAAAATGCCCTCAAAAGTATTGAAGAAGGAATAAAAATTAACGGAGAATATGTAAACAACTTAAGATACGCAGACGACACTGTCATTATTGCGGACAGAGCTGAGGGTTTGCAACGACTTTTGAATGCCATAACCACAGAGGGAGATGGCTTGGGGCTAAATATAAACACAAATAATACAAAGTAATGACCGTTACACGTGCACCAAATGCCGACATTAATATTCGTACCTACAACAAACAGATAGAACCCGTACAAAAATTCCAGTATCTTGGTTGCTGGATAACAAACAATCTTGACTACGAAGTTGAAATACGTGCTCGTATATAGTCCGATTTTCAAAGAATGGAAAAAATTCCTAATAAACTCTAGCTTATCGTTGGATATCCGATACCAATTTTAAAAACATTCATTTATTCCATATTGTCATATGGAGTGGAAACATTGACTCTCGGAATCACAAGTATGAGACGTGTAGAAGCCTTTTGAGATATGGGTTTTTCTAAGTATGCTGAAGATCTCTTGGACAGAGCACGTGATCAACAACGAGGTGCTGTAATAATATTGTAAAAACCAGAAAAACAAGTTATCTGGACATATTTACAGAAAAGAAAAATACAACTTCCTACGACTGATATGAAAGGAAGAGTGGTAGGAAGAAGAGGTCCAGGAAGAAGAATATGCTTCTGGCTGAAAAATGTAAGAGACTGGACAGGCATGGACACACATTCGATACTAAGAACAGCTCAAGATAGAGAACAATTTATTTTGCACAATGGAGAGGACACTTTAAGAAGAATTATCCGGAAATTAGATAAAATGAACTTTCTAATGTGGCTTATTTTATGGTTATCTAGTTACCTAAGTAACAAAAGTCAGATAGTTAAAATTAAGAACCACTTATATAATCCCATTTCAGCTCTTTCTGGTGTTTCTCAGGGATCTCGCCTAGGACCCCTAATTTTCAATCTGTTTATAAACTACATTGGTTCGGATTGGTTTTTATTATTTGCAGGTGATCTGACGTTATATACTTGAATATATATACTTGAATGTTGGACGATGACAAAGAATGAACGAGATAAAGTAGATGTTGTGGAAATGGATTATCTTAGAAGGTCATGTCGAGTATCGAGAATGGGAAGAATCAGGAATGAGGAAATACGAAACCGTACAGGAATTAGAGATACTCTTTCAGATAGAATACAAGGAAGGCAATTACAATGGTATGTTCACGTGATGAGAATGGAGGAGAAGTGGCCAAAGAAAGCCTTAATGTATGTTCCGCCAGAAAGAAGGAAAAGGGGAAGACCACCAAATCTCTGGAGAAGAGAAATTACAAAAACAATGCAATCTAGAAGCTTAGAAGGGGATATTGGAGAGATAGGAAAAGATGGAAGCTGAAATGCGGGAAGCGGCAATCGCCGTAGGACCCCCGTTATATGATGATGCTGACGTTATATGCAAGAATAAACAGTGTTAATGTTTACTGACTGTATTAATTTGAATAAGGATATAGCCGCTCTTCAGAATTGGTTAATAGTTAATGTAATAGGCTTAAATATAGGTAAATGCTACTGTGCTACATTTTCTAGATCTAGAGTTCCAATAGTCTTTGCTAGATTACTATCTTTGCAATACATCACTACAGAGATTAAATGAAGGACTTTGTGTTTTCTTTGATTCACAGGTATCTTTTAATCAACATTATTATTTAATTACTAGTAATGCTCTTCAAATATTTGGTTTTGTATTGCGTTATTCAAGAGATCTATCCATTAATTCAACAACGATAATGTACAATGCATTGGTTAGCTCAACTTTACGGTATGCCTCTAATGTATGGTCTCCGTTCTACCAAATCCATGTTGACTCTATTGAAAAAGTTCAGGCTACATTTGTACAGTTTATAGTATACAAATTGAACAGACCTTTGCATACTTACTCTTTTGAGAGTAAGATATTCTAATGCAACTTAAGCTTTATACTCGCAAGATAATGTCAGATTCAATACTTCTCTTTAAGCTGTTATCTGGCAACATTCGTTACCCTACCCTGCTTGAGCTGTTCTCGTGTAAAACACCTAACAGAGTTACCAGAAATACACCACTAACTTCGGTTTTTGTAGTCCAGTAGCACGTATCTGACCGCGACCAGTGGAGAAATATTGTCCACAATATTGGCCAAACTGTCCGAGCTGCTGAAGCCCAATTATGAACCACAACACATCTACTAAGATGTTAATGACTGTGATGATGAGCACGTATCTCTCGACTTGTCAATGGATTTAGTGATGAGGCTATAGCTTTAACTGGAATATCTTGTCCGTTTTTAAGCATAGCGTATAACTAGCTTTAAATGACATAGATTCCATATGAATATTTTCAATGTATTCATTTTTATGGTTATTTGTATAATGTTGCTGTTTATTGTTTTGATTATTGTTAGACATAGTTGGTTTAGGATTTTTTATAATTATATTTGAAATCGAATTGTAAACAGAGTTCTCCCGTTAATAAATACAACAAAATGAACCTAAATATATTTTTTTAGTCTTATTTGATTTGTTAGTTTTGTATTTAATTACAACTAATTTTGGCATTATATTTTTAATATGTGTTTTTAGGTCAATTGCTGGGTATCGATAAGAAATTGTTAAGAATATGGAAAATAGAAGATGTTTTAGTAGAGAAATATAAATGGAAGAGAGTAGATGCAATTCCTTTTGCTGGATTTTTAGAAAGTCTCATTGAACCAGATCCAGCACTTCGTTATACTGCATCTATGGCTCTTCACAGTGAATGGATTACAATGAATGATTAATCGTTTTCCAGATCAGTACTAATATAAATCTGTTTAAAGACTGAAGTTTTTATGTTCATTAAATTATCATTTCTTAATATGTTCAATATCTTCAATAGGAATTTTATAATAAAGTTTTAAAAACTTGTAAGTAAATGCATTTTATTGACTAATTTGAATTTCCATTACTTAAGATTACCTATAATTCTGACCAGTTGATTAACCTCTTGTTTTGTATTAATATATTATAAGCGTAAACCATTGTAAATTTGTGTATATCTTTTATATATCTTCTTTTCTTTTTAATTTTGTCTGTGATTATACCAAGGGTCCTCAATTATTTTGTATGTTCTCCTTTTTTTCTAAGATGATCAACTTTTTTTTGTCTTTATAAAGGTGGGGTCTGGAATTTTCAAAGACATTTCTGGAATTTTCCTCTGGAATTTTACTTTAAAATGCCCTCTCGTCGCCGAGTCTACGGCAAACGCCTACCTGTTAAACCAGGCCCTCCTCTGTTATCCAGCAATCAGGAAGCGGAATCGCCGCTGTTAGGCCGGCATCACTTTCAAAGCATTACCTTTATTCATTGATTCTTCATTCATACACATCCACACTCCATTCATCAGTAAGGAGGCTCCCTGTCTCGTTTCAGGTAGCGCGTAGAAGACCCTCACCGCTCCTAGTACGGCATCATTCTCAGACGTGCATTTCCTCCTTCCCTTCGTCTGACTCATTCAATCTGATCCACTTTTCTAGCTTCAACTTTCAGCATCTTTCACTCTTACCTTTGCCGTTGGTCCAGTTGTCTTTCTTCCTCTTTCTTTTTCTTGATCACACGGATATAGCTATATATGTAAGTTCAACCTGATTTATTTTCATTCATTCTCTCAATCATTTCGCTCACTGTAACAAAATTCACACCTGTATCTCTCTTTATTCTGTTGCTTTCTACTATCCATTTGCTGCAATCTAACATCGTATGATAGAGAGATAGGCCCTAAAACACCCGTGTCCTGTGAGCACCTGCGTGAGGAAATAATCCAGTCGCCTGTGGCCACAGTCCACCCAGTCTCTTATGTTCGGAATCAGCATTTTCCTCCACTCTGCCACATCCTCCGTGTTGTTTTATTCTTCTTGCCATCTTTCAATTGACCTTTCCCTTTCCTGTCTTCTCTCGGCCACAGTAAGGTTTGGGGATCACCCTCCCCAACGCAGCAGCACTATTTGCAACCTATGGACCACCTCCCGCACGTGCTTACTCCATTTTTCATTCTGGTGTAATGTCACTCCTAAGTACTTTATTTGTTTCTTGGGTGTTAGACATGCTCCCGCACATTGTAATTCAATACTTTGCCTGTTCCTTGTCCCCTTCAGAATGATGGCATCGGTTTTCTTTGTCGCAAGTTTCAGTTCGTGCTGCGTCATCCATTTATTTACAACGCGGTCTGCGTTCCGAACCCGGTATTTGAGATCTGGCTCATCCCGAGCCACTAACAGTACAGCGAGGTCATCCGCGAATGCGAAGAGGTTTGTATTCCTTCCCGTATTTACAGTGCATAACTCCGTTATATGCCAGGTTCCATAGCATCGGGCTTAAGATCCCTGGGGTACCCCGGCCGTCACATCCACGATCGTGCCCTTTTCCACCATAATCCCTTTTCTCATACAGATATTCTGCCACCACATTCATCAGGTAACTAGGACATTCTCTCTTCTCCATTGCATTCATTATCTCGTTCCAATGCAGCGTATTGAATGCATTCTTAATATCGAACAACATCAGGGCCGCCCAGCTATGTTCATCCCCTCTGTGTTGCGCAATGCTTCAAGTAGACTCATGATTGCATCAATCGTGCTTTTCCCTTTACAAAAACAAAATTGCCTCTAAGATAAACCACCTGACTTCTCAATCATGTTGTCTATACGAACTGGCAGCATCCTTTCATACAGCTTACTGATGCATGGAAAAAGATAGATGGGGCGACACTTTTCCCTAGCCTTGGGAAGCAGTATTAACCTCGATGTCCTCCAGGGCTCAGGAAAGGTTTGTGTTGCCAGCAGTGCATTCATGTGTTCCAGAAGCCGCGCAGGCTCCGCCCGTCCTAGACCCTTCACCGCCTCAAGTGGTATCTGATCCAGTCCGAGGGACCTACGAGTCTCGAGTGAACCAAATGCCTCGACAAGTTCATCCATGGTAAAGGGTACAGACCGCTCAGCTCCTTCATCCCTCCATACACCATGCTATATGCCATCGGGCAAAGGCTCTCATCTTACCTCAAGCTTCTTGTTAATAGCCATTTGTTAAGGAGGATACGCATGTCCTAATCCATCTTTTCATACAGCTCTTTCCAGTGCCTTCTGTTTTCTATACAGATTTTCCTGTAAAATTTCCTCTTCCTTGCGCGGTACTATTCCTCAATTTTCTTGATGACCTCAGGGTTGATCGCTGCTCTGCCTCTTGCTTTTATTAACCTTCTCTCATTTCTATACATTGATTTCTTAGTGCCTCGATATCCGCATTCCACCAATATGGCATCCTGTTGACATCTTGGCGACCAATATTGCTTCCTTCCATCGCTTCTTTAATGACTATTTCCAAGCTTTCTACCATCGGTGATTGACCCTGCATTATTCTTACTCTCAACTTAATCAGCTTCTTGTATTTTACAGTTATTTCCATCGCCGCATCTGGTCCTCGACGTCCCGGGCGCACGGGACACAGAGAACAGAGAGAAAACCGAAAGTAGTTAATACGATGAGCGTAGAATATGTCTTTTTTTTGTAAGATCTTCGCAGATCCACAAAAGAAATTAATGGTATTGTCAAAGCTATTGTCAAATCAACTGGCTTACAAATATCTGACCGCACTATCAGAAAAAAGTTGTGTGAAAATGGATTGCGAGCACGAACTTCTAGAAAGAAGCCGTTCCTAAACAAAAAAACAGAGACAAAAACGCATTGATTGGGTTTGGTACACAGAGAGTGGACAGAGAACAGTGAACTAAGGTAATTTGGAGTGATGAAACCAGAGTAACGGAGTGAAGTTTGTTCGCTGCCGATCGGGGAAAGACCTTTTGCCCCAGTATACTACAGTCCCTATGAAGCATCCTGTGAGTGTTGTGGTATGGGCTTGTATGACCACTAATGGAGTTGGACGTTTAGCAGTATTAGAGGGCAATATTAATGCAAAAAAATATCAGGAAGAGATACTGCAAGCCAAACTGCTGCAGACTATCAGAAATTTGTTTAAAGGGGATGTCCAACAATGCATCTTTCAGCAGGTTAGACCGCCTTGTCATACCGCTAAGACTTCCATGGAATGGTTGAAAAACCAGGACGTTACTGTCCGGCCTTGGCTTGGAAATAGTTCCGATCTAAATCCAATAGAAAATTGGTGGTCCAGGCTGAAAGTGTTATATCACGCTGAAACCCAAGTAACAAGAGAGAACTGATAGAAGCCATTATTCAAAACTGGTTTAAAGTTATTATACAAGAAGATCTGGATCATCTCGTGAACTCCATGCTTCGCAAAATAGAGTCTGCCCTAAAAAACAAAGGTTATCCCACCAAATACTAATCTTCTTGATAATACCCATTGCACTACTTTTTAAAAATATATCTACAACATAATAGCTAACGGTTTGTTTTATTTAATTTTTAAATTTTTGGAGGGTTTTCCTCTTAAAAGAGATGTTAAATATTAAGTAGAAGCATAAACCAATCAAATAAAATTATAGATAAAATTATAAATAACATAAATCGTGTGAAAAAGAGGAATGCTGATAACAAAACTTCACAGTTGTATCTGCTTTTTCCTGATGTTCAAGAAGAATTGATATCAGTTTTCAAATGTTATATCCTTAGTAATCTGTATGTTTAAAAATAATAAGATAACAAACTATACATTTTTTAAATATCTTTTTAATAAATTAAAATAATAAATTAGATCAATAAATAATTTTATATATATATATATATATATATATATATATATATATATATATATATATATATATATATTCGCTTTTTAGAAATTTTAACGATAAAAAATAACAATAAACAATAAAACATTAATCGTCGCCTAACAACTTTGACTAAAGCATTTAGATTTTTATTTTTATTATCTAAATTTTTCAAAAAATTTTGTAATAAATGCAAAGTTATCTGAAACAAAATAAAACAGAATGGATCTACCACTTATAACAAACACATATGTGACTTTTTAATACAAAAATATAATTAAGTTTAAATCACATTCTTTTAATTCTTCTGGAAAAACTTATGTCGCAGGTGTTAGATTTTGTTACTAAAAATTGTTTGACGACTTATTAGTTGTGATAATACATGAAAAAATAGTAAGGTTTAATTCGATCCACTTTTTACAACCGTCAATAAAGAACTGCTTTTGGCTGATCCTGCAAAGAGATAAAGCTGCTTGTTATAGTTCAAAGGAATAATATTTGTAAGCCCTTCTATCACACCACTAGATTTAAGCTTGAATCCTTCTAAATACCTATACGAATAAATATAGTATCGTTCAGTTGAAGTTACTATACATAGAAAAGCTTCAGTTCTGTCGATTCCTGTAAAACAACCAAAAATATATCAAATCTTAGTTAGGTACTTCATTCATTTATATTTACCTTCTGTGTAAAATGATGATAATCCTATAACATGGTCCTCTAATGGAAAACTTTGATAGAAATAATAATTATCAAATTCAGGATAATATTTTAATACTTGCACTGGGGCTTCTGTGTGAGCTAGGGCTATCAAACTATCCGCACCCAATACTATACCAGTGGCAGTGGAACATCCAAGCGACGGTATCGTTCGCATATATATAAACTAAAAATAATTCAAAAGTCAATTATCTATGATTCAAACCTCATTAATCGCGTCAACTTGCATTACTACTGGTAGTCGCCCGGTATGTTATTATTTTTGTTTGAGTCAAACGATAAATAAATAAAACGTGGTGGGATAAATATTCCTTTAACTTTGAATAGTAACGACTTGTCCTTTTTGGGTCCTCTTTCTTTGTGAATACGCTGGTAACTGTTTCTTTGCTTTAATTTGAAACAAAATGGCCATGCTACCTGAAGTTACATGTAAACCTTTTTATTCACAATAATTAAACACACTATCAGTATTTTTGAGATTTTGTTTGCCCCCTAGAAGTAAAGTTAGAAAGTATACTGCTCTTTTACACAATTTTTTTATACGCTTCAGTTCATCGCAACTTTTATAAAAACAGACTTAATTCTGGTTTTCTCAAAAGAACTGAACGTGTAATTCCCTGGTTCCCAATTAAATTTATCCTTCATTTCAATATTTTTATAACTGCAAAATTCTTGCAAGTTATTGTTTGTAATTTTCTTTAATCAAGCTCATTGATTTACTTTTAGACAAAATAGATAAAATGGCAAAATCCTTTTGTTTTCTTCTCCAATTTTGTGACCCATAGCTCTCCCACAAGTTTCCTTGTGAATTACATATTATATATATATATATATATATATATATATATATATATATATATATATATATATATATAAGGTAGTCCAAAATTTTTTGACTAGTTTGGAAAAAATATGTAAATACTTTTTTCTTTTGGGTGTGGTAGTCAATAAAAAATAGAGCTTTGCTAAGGCGTACTATTTATTCTGAAATCCGAGCTTTCGGTGGTTATTTGCCACCTTTATCAAGGTCTACAATGAAAATTACTGTGTTATAAAATTAGGCTGATGTAATATAAAAGTTATAAAAACTTACCAGAAAGTAAGATTCATAGCATATAAAACACAACGTTAAATAACATAATGTGATCTGAATTATTGAAGGCATTAAAACTTAAAAATAACTTAAAAATTAAAGAACATGTTACAAAGTTTAAAAAGTAAAAGATAAGACATGTTTGACAAAAAACAGTCGTCTTCGCAGGTTTGAATTCAGTCACATCTCACGAACAGAAAGAGGTAGTAGGAGGAACTATTGTTGTTTAAATAGTTCGATGCAACTACAAAAAACAAACTTTCAAACTGATGTCTAACAAAATGCCGTTTGTGATTTTAAGTACTACCAACCATGTTACCAACTTTGAATTGAGAGGGAAATTTAAAAAAAGTTTATTATGTCAAACAATAAAAAGAAAATAGTATTTAGTAAGTAGGTTTAGAAAAAACAAACAACCAAAAGAAAATGAACATCTGAATAATAACTGAAGTTAATCATGATAATTATAGCAATTAATAATGGAATTTAAGAAACAAGACATGAAACACTCTGATATGCAGAAAACCCTAGTCAAAAGTCAAAATAAAATTGTAAATTTTGCTAAGATTCTGGATCTCAGATCTTTTATTCAGATTGTTGTTATCACTCCTGCTGATATGTACCATTTCTAAGAATGTTCTCTTAAATTTATTTTTCTCTCTGGCTAATATTTTTACATTGTTAACAAACGGATCGGTAATCGACAAAAGTTTCGAAAATTTTTTTTGATAAGGTTATTTCAATTTTAAATAGCAATCGATGATATAATCAGAATTTTCCCACTCTTTTTTTAGTATACAAATTCTGTCGAGAAATTTACAGATATATGCAGAAGTCGCTCTTTGCTTTGGTTCACGTGACGAACACGCTACTATAACAGCTGTGTTGAAGAAGCAAATCTTCGATAGTTTATAATTATTCAAACGATTAAAAAGTTGTATTTTGGCGAATTAGGAACAGTTTTTTTATTTTTATGGAGTTAGTAAGTGATAATTGTTGTTTTGTTAAACCTAGTCCACAAGGAAAAGGGCGCAAAGAAGTTCTTCAGTCAGAAATACATAAAAGGAATGTGGGTAAACTTCCACTTCATTGTTTCACTTTTTTTTGTATTTTAACGTTGGGTAGGGCTATATAAAAGTTTATTAAAAGAGTTGTATTGTTACAGAAATACACCAAAAGCACAACCGGCCTTTCCAACTTGTGGTCATAACGTGGACGACCCAGATTGTCGTATTTTTGTACCACACTCACACACTCACGATGAAGCAACTGATAGATTATCATGCCTATCTTTATCAGTAAAAAGATAAGAGTAAACAAGACCTTCTGATATTGGCTTTTTGTAATGGTCAGACAGAAGAAATCTTTGTAAAAGTGGTGTACATAGTGAAAGGGAAAAAGCTAGTTCAAGAAACCTCAATAAAGAAATAAAACGAAGATGTAAGGCCGACAAAAAAACAGTACTATCAAAGTATATGCAAAGAAATTGAGAGACATGGTCAGAATAATCAGCCGAGAGATCTATTTAGAAAAATACGCTACCTGACAAGAGACTTGGGCCATTGAAGATAACACTGAAACCCTGAGAACAAACAGAGAAGACATAGCAGAGACATGGAGATCGTATTGCAGGGGCCTATATAAAGATGATCAACGCCAATAGCTTGTTAGCCAAATCTCTGACGAGGTGGAAGAAGAACCTGATATACTCGAAAATGAAGTAAGACAGGCTATCAACAAGCTCAAATATAACAAAGCACCAGGTCCAGATATGATATCAGCAGAAATGCTTAAAGCCACAGAAGAAACCGGCGTAAAGTTACTTCATCTACTCTGTAACCAAATATGGCATTCCAAACAATGGCCTGAAGACTGGACAAAATCTACAATAACGACCATACATAAAAAAGGCAGCTAATCGAGAAATCTAGGGAATTCAACATCCCACTATACATCTGTTTTATAGATTACCGTAAAGCGTTCGACAGGGTCAAGTGGAGACACTTATGGCGAATACTAAAAGAAGTAGGCGTACCACAACATCTAATTACGCTTATAACCGAACTATATGAACACACTACTGGATCAGTTAAAGTACTTGACACACTTTCGAACGAATTTCATCCAGAACGGCGTGTCAGACAAGGATGTATACTATCTCCACAATTATTCAACATATATGGGGAGTATATTATGCGAAGAGCACTTGAAGGATGGGAAAAGGGCATCTCAATAAATGGTCATAAACTAAACAACCTACGTTTCGCAGATGACACAGCCCTTCTTGCAAATAGTCAAGCAGAGCTGATAGAACTTATACGACTGATCGAAAACGAAAGTCAAATATTTGGTCTGCAATTAAACATATCAAAGACAAAGATCATGATAGTGGATAGACTACACAACAATCATCCACACATAACCACAATTGACCGGTTCGAGGTTGTGAGCTCATACTTATATCTGGGATCAATAATCACAAGCACAGGGTCATTACAAGAAGAGATTAAACGTATATCTGATCCAGCAAAAGTTGCCACAGCAAAAATGACCAAAATATGGAAGGACTGTCAAATTTCAAGAGCGATAAAGATGAGGTTGATCAACTGCTTAATATTCCCAATACTGACCTACGGATGTGAATCTTGGACTCTGAGACAATCGGAGAGAAGAAAGATAGACGCCACTGAAATGTTCTGTTGGAGACGAATGTTACGAATTCCTTGGACCGACCGCAAAACAAATAATTCAATTTTAAGAGAGCTAAAAGTTAGCCAAACTCTAGTAAAGTCCATCTCCAACAATTAAAATATTTTGGGCATGTTATGAGATCAAACACAGAAAACATGGAAAGACTCATAATACGAGGAAAGGTAGAAGGCCGAAGATCACGAGGAAGATCCCCAACAAGATGGATAGATCAAATTACAGGAATATGCCAAAGACCTATGCATGAATTAAAAGAAATGTCCAAAAACAGAGATCTCTGGAGACGGACAATACACAACATCACGTCGACCACTACACTCCCCCTGAGGGGTCAGGATTGAAGAGAGAGAGAATGGTCAGAAACCAAAAAGAGGGAAATCTAATCATGCTGCAGTGTCGATAAAATACCATGTACGTTTGAGTGAGGGCAAGATGATTAGAGTATGTGCCAAGTAGTTTCTAGGAATGACAAATTTAAGCAAGAGGTGGCAATAGAGTGGGTCCAAAAAAATAGGGTGCAGTCCAGAAACTGCATCAAAAAATTTATAGAATCCATAACATGTACAGAGTCTTATTACCGTAGAAGCAAGACAAGCGTGAGGGTCTGCTTGCCATGTGACTTGAATGTTATGAAACTTTTCGACCATTATCTTCGAAGGGTGCCTCAGCCTATGCATGTGAAACTTAGTTATTTTCAATAGTATGTGAATGTTAACCACAACATCGCGTTTGGAACTTGCTTGAGAACAAAGAAGCAGTTAAAAGTAGCGGCTTTTTTCAAACTCCTTAAAAAATCCAAAACACAACATAACTTACTTTTCGTTCGACTGTCAAAAAAACTTAGCAATGCCCAGACTGTGTGATCAAGCAGCATATTTTAGAAAGCTAATAAACTATAATAATTTTACTGGAACTTCTACCTATAAACTAAGACCAACGAATGTGTTTTCTTAAGTGTAGACAGAAATTGACCCCCGAAAATATTCTAATACAATAGCGTCAGCTTTGCAACATGATCTAAAGAATTTTCATTTTGATGTCAACATATGTAGAAACAATAAGTTTGTTCGCTGATGGTTGTGGCAGACAAAACAAAAATTCGAATATGATGGTAATGTTGGTTCATTGGCTTCTAGAAGAATCGCCGAATCATTAAACAAATTGAATTAATTTTCCGATCTTTGGTCATTCCTTTATTCAGCCTGATCATATTGTTGGCCTTATGAAAAAAGACATTAAAAAACTGCCTGTTATAGTGGAAATAAGTGACTACGACGATTTAATCAGAAAGCATTCCACTGTACGGAAAATCGGTATGGATTGTGATCGAAGAACACAAACAAAACGAGTTATTAGCTGTCTAGTTCATGACACTTCGAATTTAATAAGGCAAAGCGGTTTATTTTTTACAAAAAATGCAAAATGTTCTATTCCAAGGTGAACCCAATTACCGAAATGACGTTGGAAAAGATTGGGATGTGTTTGATCGAAGAACACAAACAAAACGAGTTATTAGCTGTCTAGTTCATGGCACTTCGAATTTAATAAGGCAAAGCGGTTTATTTTTTACAAAAAATGCAACAATGTTCTAGTCCAAGGTGAACCCAATTACCGAAATGACGTTGGAAAAGCTAAAATCGTTTGTAAGAAAAAATTGTCTCTTTCTTCAATGGCTCCAAAGAAATTACCAATGGGTGGTAAAAAATTAAAGGGGCATAACGAAACTATTAATAGCCTCTTTTCCAAACACTATGGAGAAAATTGAAAAAGCCTTTCTGAACTAATTTTTTTACAAAGAACACGTGAAGACAGATTCTATCTTACCAGAAAAAACTGTTGATGGTTTGGAAAGTTGTCAAAATGCAGAAATTGACTATTTTTTTGTTTGATCATTACTGATTGGGACTGCTTTTGATTTTCTTTTTCGTTTAAACATTTTCTTTATATGACTAAAAAACTTAAAGTTTTATTTTCATGATTAAATCTCTATGTTTTTTATTGAACTAAATACGGTTTGTAATTATTTTATATATTTATCTGCAAAAAGAGTTGTTTGCAATAAACATTTTTTTTTTCTAAAAATCTGTAAATATTTTAGGCTAGAAACTTCTAATTTCTATAGCTAAAAACTCTTTCACGTTTTGAGCTAAACATTACTTGGCCGTTAATCGTGTTTTTCAATTTTCCAAAAAATTACTTTCGAGCAAAAAGCAAGTTTTGCAAATAATGACCTCAAATGCTTTATACGTGTAATGCCAACTAGAAAATATTACCTGTTCTGTATTTGGATTGAACCTATAAATATTTGTAAATTCATTTTCATGATTTGCGTCATTTGGTATTTGATTTCCTAGAACCAGTACCACGCCTTGTGCAGTTTGCATCAGGTACACTTCTACAACCCCCTTGGTGCGTATTTTTTGGATCTCTAAAGCGTGGGTCTAAACATAAAAATAAATGGTTAGGTTAGGTAAGTTAAGGTACAAAAGGTATGTTTTGTATTTTGAGAACGATTTTCGAAGTGGAAGTGAAAGAATTAAAATAAATACAGAAGGTTGCGTTTTCATTTAATTTGAGTCTCTTATTGTTCTCCTATACTTGTTTCAAGGTTTACCTTTCATTAGGGAAGACGTTGTGAGAGGACTGTATTTAAACCGGCACGTACCATCCAGGTGAAAATTATTTGTAAATTAAGGAGGAATATGGAATTGTCTGATATGAAAAGTTTATTGAAGATTTAAGTTTAGATAAGGTCTTTTGCATGAATAAATCTCAGAACTTGATAGTATTTTTACTTCCAACCTTTAGCGTAAACTGAAAAGCTTTTTTTAATGAAATTAGTCCAGTCCTTCACTTCGTTTAACTAATTGATCAAAGATATAATGGTAGAGGATTTAGTTAAAGATGTTAAGTTCACAACATTATTTTATATTAACCCTTAACTACTGTAACCTTAATTACATAAGTATTATAAGTGGGTCTATAAGACCCATTTTTTTCAAATAGAGAAAACAAACAAGTTTTTTGATATATTTTTTTTATTTTTATAAACTAGGATTACAAGATGAAGTACCAGAAATGGTTTAAACACATATTAAAGTTATTCTTTGCATTTTTTGCATAACTGAACACAACATTGTAAACATACCGGCATATTACACTATAGTTCGTTTTACAAATAAAGTTCGTTTTTCTGTCTCTCTTGACCGGACAAAGATGACATCTCTTTATTTTTCGATTTTAGTTGGCTCGAGGGGGCTCAGGAATACTTACAAATTGCCAAGAATATCTGCCGCAATAGCTCGAATCTGTCGGGACACATTGGAATTATATATTCTTCTCTTCATATGTGTAATGTACAAGCTTTGTGCTAATTATTTTAGGAATTTTTCCCGAGGGATAGAATTTCGTTTATTTATCAACTGATATAACACTCTGGTGTTAATACCTGCAATATTTATAACAGCAAAAAACACTGCCATTGGCCATATTTGTGATCTTACAACAGCTACAGAATAATTGACACATTTATGATCCAAGGCATCCACACCGGCCTTTGTCGAATTATAAAATAAAATAATGTCGGGTTTTTTTATTTTCTCATCAATAACATTGTCATGGTGCTGTGTAGATATCAGTATTACACTTCTGGCTTTCTTGGGTACATAAGATACCATGGTAACATCAAAAGTGAATCCAAACAAAGAAGAATCAACTGGCCTTTTTCTTTGAGGTAGAACTTCTGGTGGAATTTGGCGTTAATTTTTTTTAATTGTGCCAACGTAAGTAATACCCTTTATTTTATTTCACGAACCATTTCTATCGAAGTGTACCAGTTATCGCCAGTCACATTAGGTACGTCCTTCGCCATGAATTGGTTGACTAACCCGTAAAACCACTTTGGTAGTATGAGAGAAGGGTGATTTTGCAGTTTTGTTCTCGTTCTTGCCACTGTATATTTCTGCGTTCATATTAGCTGGCTTATTTGAAATGTATATTCTGAAGCCATATCGTCACTTGAATGGAACTAACATTTCATCAATAGTCAAAAAATATCCAGGTGTGTAGTTGTTGATACAATTTTGTACAAATTGTTGAAATATAATAATTATTGGGCCGAATTTAGTGTCTCTTCTTCTCTCAGTTCTTGTCGTAGCATCATCAAATCGGAGACACAACATTAAAAAGGAAAATCTTGGTAGGGTCATTGTACATCGAAATAGATCTCGACCTGTTCCATCAGTTGCCCACATTGAACGTTAATCCTCGTATCCAGATTTAAATACTCCTTGCATATATATCAAACCAATAAACGCTTCTATTTCTGCAATATCAACTGGATATATAAAAGCAGGACCGAATATCTTTCTGGAATTTTTATTGCGTTTGAATGTCAGGTATTTCTGTTTGGCCAATTTTCTTCAATTCTTTCGTTGGTCCGAAGCACTATTTCTTCCAATATATCTAAAATAATCAGAAATATCCAAGTACCTATAATACTAACAGGAGTATTAGCGCGAATGGCACCTTCTAAAGACCAGACTTCTACCAGACCCTTAGTATTGTCATTTCAATAGTAGTAGTTTCTTTGGTTTGCTTCATCCATTACATCTTTATTTTCAGATTGATTGGTCTCTTCACTAGATAAAGTTTGCATCTGCTCTTCATCTGATGGATCCCTGTCGATATCACTTACCGAATCATGATCACTAAAAATTCCTTGATCGCTATCACTTTGATCGCTGCCATAGTCCATTTGGAGGATATTGGTACCTGCTTCATACTCATCAGCATTCACTAAAACATTTGTTGAAGACGATGCCGACGTTGACGCAACATTTTGTGAATCGTCAATCCAAAAATCCTCACTTTGAAATAAGGCATCAATATCGTCGAGGGTAAGAGGTTTATTTCGAGCCATTTTAAAATTAAAAGAAGAAAATACATATTAGGTATACTACTTAAAGAAAACGACAAAAAACAATGTCAAATAAAATAAATTATGATAGACTAAATTAAGCTGATACAAAATAATATTTACCTTATACACAATAATTATGTAAATATCACGTAATAGCTATAAGAGGGTCTAATACACCCAGGTACCTACGTCTATAAAAGTCGCTAGTTCCAAACAAACGTTATGCACTCTTCACTATCATATTTCAGACTAAATAAGCTGAGAATAGAGCTTTATTTTATATAAGTATAAATTATAATTATAGGTATAATTTCCTATACAGATTGAACGAAATAAATTCGGAACATAGGAATATAATGTATTTCGGCTCAATTCTGCTGTAGCTGGTTGGCCAACAAAAGACTGTCAAATAATTATATTATAAAAAATCCCATACTTCAGCGGGCTGCTGGATTCTGAACTCATAAAAATTGAAAGCTAAACATAAATCTACGATTTTATTATGCTGTCAAACCAGTTATAGTCCAGGAAATGTAGCATTTCACCTCGCAATTTTTTCCTGCGGCGTGGATTGACTTGAAATTTAACAGAAGGTAGGTAATAGCATAAGGATCAAAATCTATATCGAACCAAAGTGCACCAAAGCCTAGGGGGTGGTTGCCACCCCATCTCCGGGGTGAAATTTTTTTTTACGTTTTAACTACAGGTTTCGATTAGAAAAGTGATTCTAAACAAAAAATGTGCTATACATTTTTTTTATAAAATGAAATTTTTCAAGTTATTCGCGATTGAAAGTACCAACTTTTAGACGAAAAAATCCACGTTTTTAATCGATTTTTCGCGAATAACTCGAAAATGGTGCATTTTATCAAAAAAATTGTAGAGAACAAATTGTAGCTTTTAAAAAGACAAATACAATTACAAATACAATATCAATGTTCAGCGGTTTTCTTCAAATGCCAAATTTGAAAGATTTAAAGTCAAATATCGGGAAAATGATGCATTTTTGGAAGAAAACTCACAGAACCTTTTTTAAAGAGCATAAATAGACCTATCATAAAAAAATAAGGTCAATACCTCATTTTTTACGAAAAAATCGAGGAAAACAACACCCTAACCACCCCCATAATTAAAATCGATCTTCACCCTTCTGCAATTCCCGTTGTAGATGTATTGTTAATACGTCCAAGAAGTTTGACCCATTAAAAATGCTTAGTTTTAGAAAAAGTACAGCTTAAAGCGAGAAACGATTTACAATTTCATATTTTTTACCCTTCTTTTTTTAAATATCCCCGAAAATACTGAATATATGAAAAAAATAAAAATTACCAAATTGTAGCTTTTTTAATGACTAAAATTACACTTTATTTAGATTTGTTGTACAATGAATATTTGGCGAGATATAGCCGTTTAAAGCATCGATTTACGATCAAGCACCATCTTTTTCGAGCCCTTTAAACTCACCCCATTTAAAAACCAAGGGTTCCAAAAAGATTTAATTTACAGATCCTTGTAGCTAATAAAAACCTCTACAAATCGTTTTTGAAGAAACACTCTATCGTTAAAAATTAAAGGAAATACGTTAAAAAAAACCAGTTAATTTTTTTCCGGAAAATTCCATTAGTATAGTACGGAGCATAATAATCTACAAAACCGGTATATTAGCTAGTGGGGCGTTTAATTTTAAGCGTTCTTATTTTGAAATCCCATACAACAGAATAAAACATCTGCTCATATGTCTATGGCTTGGCAATGAAAATATCAGAGCAACAGATTGGGGATGGTATTCCAAAGATGGTTTGTTATTACCCGTACGCATGAACAAACAACCTGCACACGATAAATTTTTGAAAATTATTTTTTGCCAATGCAAAAAAGATGCGGCGTTTCATATGGGTGCAGAAAAGTTGGTTTATACTGTAACTCTACTTGTTCTGGGTGCTCAGGTGAAGGGTGCAATAACAGTCCACCAATAATTGAAGAAGATGAGGATGACATAGATCACGATGAAGATGTAATTGATGACGAATAAAATTAATATTATAATTGTTTTACCTATAAATGTAAATATTTTCAACTATTTATGTAAATGTATAAGAATATATGGTGCCTTTTTATGTTGATAATTTTTTTTTGTATTTAATTCTACTTTTTTCAATTTATATCTTATAAATTAGTTTATAAAAACTGCAATGTTGTAAAGGGTGATTTTCAAAAGTTGAAAAGTTGCAAAATTTTGGCAAAAAATTGTTTACACCTATAGCACTCAAAACAATTGATTTTAAAGGGTTGAAAATATATGAATTTGTATTTTAAAGTATAAAAAACTCACTATTTAACTAATCCAAACCAAATTTCACTCATCTTAAGATTTGTAATATTATTTTACAATTTTTTAAAATTAAGGGTAGTTTTCACCCCTAAGAACAATCAGAGTTCATCGGCATGACATAAACTATAAAGCAGAGGGTGAGTTGAGCTTAATTCCAAATTTTTATGCAAATCGTTCCAAGGTGAAATCATTTTCTTCGCATTACTAATTTTTTTATCTTAATCTCTAATAAGGGTGGTTTTTTAAGGGTTGAAATATGATGAAACTTTATTCAAAAGCACGAAACTATCATTATTTAATTAATTCAAACCAAATTTTACCCATATTCAGGTTTAATATGTTATTTTATAATTTTTGAAAATTAGGGGTAGTTCTCACCCCTAAGAACAATCAGGGTTCGTCGACATGACATAAACTATAAAGCAGCGGGTGAATTGAGCTTAAATCCAAATTTTTATCCAAATCGATCCAAGGCGAAATCGTTTTTTTAGAATTAGTAATTTTTTACATTAATCTCTAACAAGGGTTGCTTTTTAAGGGTTGAAATATGATGGAACTCTATTCAAAAGTATAAAATAATCATTATTTAACTAATTCAAACCAAATCTTACCCATATTCAGGTTTAATATGTTATTTTATAATTTTTGACAATTAGGGGTAGTTTTCACCCCTAAAACCCTTCAGCGTACTTCGGTTCGATATAGATTTTGATTCTCGGGCTATTACCTACCTTCTGCTAAAATTTCAACTGGATACATGCAGGACGAAAAAATTGCGAGGTTTTAACTTTTTTCGAGCTTCATTTCCTGAACTATTATTGCCTCCTTAGACAAACCCGTCTTACGCAAACAACTTTGTTGCGAGACAGATAGTTGAACGATATTTTATACAATGTCTATACCCAGGTATGGATTTATTTTTGTCCAAGTTTTATATTGGTCCACTATTTTAAATGCAGTTCAAACAGACATGTATTAAATTGTATGTTCCGTTTTAATTTGATTCAATCTGTATATAGTCAAGAGCAAAATGATATTAGCTTCACAATATTAAAATAACATAAAAAATATAAATAATAGTTATTTGAGGAATATCAAATTATTGTTTCCCTACATACCTTGTTTTCATTAATCTGAATAACCGTACAGTTCAAATCGTAGCTATCAAGAACTGCATCATAGTATCTTCCAATAACCGCATAAGTTTTGTCATTTAATGTAAAAAAGTCCACTTTACTTATATAACCAGTAAAAAAGGTATCATATTGATAGAAATAGCCTTTTTTGTTTCCTCTAGTCTTTGTTGTCCAGGTCATCATTGATATTTCATTCCTTAATTCCGCTTGACTTTTTCTAAAACATAAATACAACAAAATGTTATATGTATACCTATGTATATACAAAACTCAAATATTTGGGTGTGCAGCAGAAAATAGGACAAAGAAGTACTCTTTTTAGTTAACCAAGCTTTCGCAAATCTTTATTTGCATCATCAGGGTGCTACAATAAACAGAATTAGTACAAATTATGTAATTATTAACACTATTTTAAATCCGTAACTATCGTTTTAAATGTCTACTTTCTGTTCAAATTCACTCTTATTCACAAATGTCATAATAACCCAAACTCACTTAAAGTGTATATTTGGTTGCCCATAAATATGGTGCCTTTAAGTTTAGAAGACCAATCAATCCCCACTGTTGTCTTTAACGGATGTTGTTTATTGTATACCGTGCGGATCATGTGAACAAGTATACTACGGTCAAACATCAAGATGCCTTAAAGACCGCATTACATCGCACAAGTCTGATAATAGATTACATCCAGAAAGAAGTGCATTGGGTGAACATGCATTTAAAAATGGACATCGGATAGATTACAATAACATCAAAGTAGTAGAACAGGAAAGTAACATCACCAAAAGACTTTTTCTTGAAATGGCCTACATTTGCCAAAATAACAATGCAATGAATCATAGAACGGATATTGGTCATCTAAATGAATTGTTCTCCTATTTGTTACTACTAGATAAATGCAACAATAACACAAACAGTAATTTATCAATTGACTTTTAATAAATTAAATAAAAGTTTTCTCTTCTTCTTTTTTTAATTGTTTTTAAATTTAGTAATTTTTGTATACACACAGATACTGGGGTCGTACAAAACAATATCATATTCAATTGTAATAATTTTAGAATTATGACCTTATTTCTTTAGGTTAATTTAATAAATTTTGTGTTGAAACATTGACAAGTTAAAGTTTCACTTCTTTATGATATTAATAAATATAAAATAATTTATATTGCCACAATACATCTAATGATAGGCCTATAATTTGGTACTAGTATCTAATAATAAAAACCACTGAATTGTCTTGAGAAAAAACTAATGACGATATAATAAAATTAAGAATAAAAATGTCAGAAATGTGTGTATAATAAGTAAGTGTTTGTGATTGTAAAGCAATTTTTAAAAATTTTAAATATAGGAATAAGTTTTATGTAAAAATATGACAGACTGTGATAAGTTTTATCGACATTGTAGAAAATCATTGATGATCCAACCTCATTAAGTTTGTAAGTAGCGAATCTTTAATTAATTATACAAACTTGTAACAAACTATTCATCACATTTGTAGCTCCCTGATGAAGGACATAACCATGTCCGAAAGCTCGGAATAAAAATTTAAAAGAGTACACGTATCATTTTTATTGCTGCAAACCCAATATTGAAAATTTACTTCCTTGTTGTCAGCAAATACTTCTGGTTCATTATATATATATATATATATATATATATATATATATATATATATATATATATATATTATATTATATATATATATATATATATATATATATATATATACGCTCAATTAATAAATAATTAATCAACTATAAGAAACGCGCAATTTATTGATAACTACTGAATTATTACACTATAGTCGTTGTTGAGGTAATAGTATATTATATAACGAGAGTTGTAAGAAGCTTATTACATGCGAGTAAAAAAGTTGCGCGCGAGCCGCGTAGCGGCGAGCGCAGTAATTTTACAAGCATGTAATAAGCTTACAACTCAAGTTGTGTACTATACTTTTTCTACCATTATTTTCGTTTATAAAAATAAAAATTAAATTACCACTATATTTACACTGACAGATTAATAATTTTTAATCTGTCAAAATAACGTCTGTTTATTCGTTTCCATGGTAATTCGACCAACTGACTTACGAGGCTTATGTGATATTACACATTTTTATAAAACTGAAGCGTAATTTTTTTATTACGTGCTAGTCATTACGTGTCAGTATCTGTTATGATGCATTTACTTAGCATCCAAATAGTAGGTAATATACAATTTACTAGTAAGAGAGTAGAAAAAAGTTTATAACAGTAAACAGACTGCATCCCAAACTAGTCACGAAGCTATATTTATAATCTCACTAAAATTATACGATTATTTTATACGACTACTAGGGAGTTAAAGATTAGTGTGTTAATTAAGATTAAAGTTAGTTCATATTATATTATAATATTAAATTACTTACATGACTATATATATATATATATATATATATATATATATATTATATATATATATATATATATATATATATTATATATATATATATATATATATATATATATATATATATATATATATTTACCGAAATAAATAATTCGTTATTGAACGAAAATACACTTGCTTCCAATATTTATATTTACTTTTCATTATTTCTTACCTACAGTGAGAACTAGTACTGACACTATTGGTAATGAAGTTGACTGTGGTGTTTCCGTCATCATAGCCGAAAAATCTAGGGACCCCTGTATTGGGAAAACACGTTGACCGAGGAGTGAGGAGATATTACTACAGAAGACTGCACGGGACAAGAGCAATTGTTTGGCAATCCACAATATGAGCCCAATTCAAATCCATTAATGTGAATTACAATCTCGTCTTCAGTAGATAATATTGAAGCTCTAAGAGAATTCGGCATTTCTACTTGCAATGCATCTGACTTTTCTAAATACATGAATTCTTCTGGAAGTTCTGAAATAGAAAACCGATTTTTTAGTAATAGACTAACGTAACATTCTTATCTATATAAAACATAAGAGATAATTAGAATCTTCTTGTTATTAAATAACCTTCACAATCTAATGAAATAAAAATAGTAGCGGTAAAAAGTAGCATCCTTCATTCTGCACCTGCCATTGATTCCTCACCATCTTATGTTCCAAGATTATTGGTGGATGATCTGAGAAGTATTTACCACCTATTGAAAAATTTCCCGAGAAACGAAAAATCACTGTAATAGTAAATTCTCCTTCGAGATCTCCTGGAGTCATATGATTCAAAACTCATTTTGATCAAAAAGATCATTTTCGTCAAAGTCCTACAAACTTCTTTTCATGAATATTGGATATTTTGTCCTTAGTTTTTACTTGTCTAAATTCGTCAAATTACTCTCCACCTTCAACACCTACATCAAGGCTACACTCCTCCCCTATTCTTTCTATATTGGTACCATATAGACATCAAAGATTAATACTATTACAATAATTATTATTAAACTCAACAGTCTTCCGGGTTGAACAGCGTCGGTTATCATTGCGCCAAAGTTTCGAAATACTCTTTGATGTCTTCTTCAGGGCTTCCGAGGTCTCAATCTCCCGAGCCTCCAGACACTACTACACTGATGCAGCAATCAATGCATTACAGACAGAAATTCTTTATTTAAATATTTTGTCGATTTTGTCAGTGACACCTTTGATGTAAGGAAGAAAAGTTTTCGTATGTTAAGGGTCCGAGTCTTTGAGTTGAGATTGAGTGGGAGGTTATTGTCTGTGGATAACTGGCGGTAACCGTTTCGGGTGAGGGCTTGTTTTAAACTAGAGAGCTCAGCGGGTCTACTTGCATCATCGCAACGGCGTATAGATCTGGAGACAAGGGTAATAATGACTAAATTAATTTGTGAAAATTAATGATGAGAGTTGGCATGCAAGTAACGATTAATATGGATGTTTTTTCGATAAACAGAGTGATAAAAATCTTGGGATTGGTTTTAACCTCGAGAAATGGTAGGGGTGAATTAGTTTCTACCTTCATCGTGAACTGGATGCTAGGATGTATACCATTTAGATGGGTTTGAAAAAACACCAAAGCATCTTCGTGCATAGCCATCATAAGGGTTTTTTCTAAGAAGACTTTTCACGAGGAATTAGAGATTGTTTTATGTCAAATGTTTATAAAAACTTATTAAAATATGTTTTTCAGTTTGTAAGCGTTTTGCATTTACAAATGAATGTTTTAACACGCTCTTAATACTAAATAAATAAATCAATAAAACGATTAGAAAACAATATATATCAAATAAATACATACTTTTAACTAATGGCATCATCTTTTTGACCATTGTTGTTAACTGAGTTTTCATGCTGAAAATTTCTTCCATCTCAAGTCTCCTATCACTCGAAGATAATACTTTTTTAATTTGTGAAACAGATTGTCCATTTATAAATTCTGCTTTAATTGAACCATTATTGCTAGTCGGTACAAGAATTGTCTAAAAATATAAATAATTTTAAATATAATTTATTCCTATAAAATTTATTTGGTCAACAATCTATAAGTGGGCCATGTAGAAGTCAAACTGATGAGACTCATCGACAGTACAGCGAAAGAGAACCTGGATTATGACACTCTGAAAAGCCCCGTAGTTGGTCAGAGCTTAACGGATACTGTAACGAAAAAGCTGACAAAATCAGATAATCAAGAAATCAAGTTTTAAATTCAAGAAATTTAACATACTATATTACAAAGAGAAACAAACTAGAAACCATACACAATAAGAAAAGATTGTAGAAGAAAAATGGAGTTATATCAAAAACGTAGTACTGAATGCGGGAAAAAATCTAAAAAAGAACAAGAATAGAAAATGGACGACTAATGACTAATGACAGATGTTCAACCAAAGCAGATTGATTTAGGACGCGAGGAAATACCAAGAAATCAATAGAACAATCAAGACAAAATTAAGAAAGGCGGAAGAGATATGGATGCAAAAAAAATTTAAATTAATCGAGGAGCTCCAAATGAAACAAAGCAATATAAACATGAGCTCTTTCTGACAAACTGAATTCGATGAGTATTACGATGAGAGTTACGATGTCTATCTTAATTTATTAAAAAATGATTGTACAGCGTATCTAAATAGAAATCTATTATAAAAGGTTAATCTGAAAAATGCTAATAAAAAGGTAATGTAAAGCTGTGATTGACAGCATTATATGAATTACTTACAACATTTCCATGACTAATTACGGGTCCTTCAAGTGGTATCGCATTCTCAAAGCGATCAGTTACATTTGCACCATTTATAAAATCAATGGATACATTGCCAGATATAATGGGTCGAACGAAATGTTTATTTCCTGATATGTTTTGGAAACCTAGGTCAAAAACTATGTCATCGATTGGAATACTATTAATAAACGGTGTAATGAAATCTGTAAAAGTCAAATAAGTAAGTACTTCAAAGGTAAGTTTTAACTTGATTTTTTATTATGCTACCAATGAATATACAGGATCAACCAATTTTAAGTAATAATATCACTGGTATCTTTTTTAAAGCAAATGTCCTGTATATTTTTTTGAAATCGATAATTATAATTCTTAAAAAATTTAAAATGGCATCCATATAAAACTATGTTGCTGCAAGAACGAAATTCAGATGATCCTGATCGTAAATAAGTTCTACGAAACAATGATGCATTTAAACAATAACGATAGGTCTCTCTCTCTTGTCGTTTCCCCATTACTGAGGATCGTGATTTCTTTCAATATTACTAACAATGTTTCTCCAGTGGTCTCTATCTTCAGGTGCTCTAAGAGCTTTACAGAATAAGTTTCCAGCTAAATTCTTAATTTGGTCGGACCATCTAGTTAGTGATAGTCCTCTTAATCTTTTACCCAAAACGTTTCCAGAAACAATTAATCTCTTCAAACTATTCACCTCTGCGAACCACGTACCGAAAAATTGCAGAATACGCAGGCATATTGTGGACAGCCTTTTTTTATTGTCAAGTGAGTTTAGAATGAAAACGTTTTTCCTACGAGCTGTCCAAGGTATGCGCAGCATTCATCTCCACAGCACATCTCAAAGGCATCAATTTTTCAACGGTCTCGCCCGCGAAGAGTTCAAGTCACTGCTTTGTATAGAAACATTGAAAATACCAGGGCATTCACTAGTCTTATCTTGATATTTTGAAAGAAAGATCTATCTTTCCAAACTTTATTAGGCGAGTCATCGCTTTCTCTTCGCAAGAGATTAAACATTTCTTGCTCATTTGGTGGATGACATGAAAGTCAGGTGACAACAAGCATCCTTGTCTAACACCTCTCTCGGTCTTAAATTGGTTTGAGAACTTCTGATCTAGTCGTACTGTTGATATATTGGACTGGTACATATTTTTAATAAGTATTACCAGGTGCATTGGTGTGTCCATTTCTGTTAAAATAAACCAGAGATTTATTCAGCTTACACAATCAAATGCCTTTTAGTAGTCAACGAAGCATATAATCATAGGTACTTAAAATTCTTTAGACTTTTCAATGAGTTGTCTTAGGTTCAGGATTTGTTTCCGTGTACCTTTACCCTATACAAACTACGCTTGTTCCTGAGTGACATAAGTGACAGTGTGCAGTATTTCACATCTGGTAGTAGGTTCTTTTTTGTGTAACAGTATATAAATTGAGGTACAGCAATCAGATGGCCATTTTCCTAAATTCCAAACAGCGAAACATATAGAATGGATGATATGTAATCCTTTGTTACCTAGTAACTCTAGTATTTAGATAACCTTCATGATCTATTACAGACCACGTTTGAGATTTAAATTCTCTGGTAAGGAGAAATCTGAAATAAATCCCTCAGTTTATTTCGACAGCAATGTTCCTCTACCTCTCTGGATATTTGAGAGATGTAATCAGCTTTGTCGTTGCGGCACTGTTTTCTGATTTCTTTCGATAAAGCTCTGTTTTCATGATTTGTTACAGTCAAAATATTTTGAAACCTCGATTACCTTATCTTCAAGATATATCCAAGTACTCTCAGGGTCATTATCTACTTGGTTTAAAGAAAGAGCTTCTTCTAGGTTTTGTCAGAAGTCATTCATTTGATGGATTTAGAGATATGACGTTTTTTTCTCTATCTATTTTGTCCAAAACCAAACCTAACAATGAACAAGAAAGGACAAAGAATTGCATTTATAAAATACCTTGTGAATGCGATCAGTTTTATTTAGGTGAATCATCAAGGCCATTAAATGTTAGAATAAGTGAACATCAATCTTATATTAAAAATAGAGAATTTGATAGATCTCAAATTTGTAAACACGCATGGGATAATGAACATAGGGGTCAATGGAATAATTCAAATGTAGTCCTAAAAGAAACGGATGGTAAAAAAAGAAAAATCAAAGAAGCGGCTCTAATTATGCTAAATGAGGCCAATTGTGTCGCAAATTCCTCGGCAGAATGTAGTAGGTTACCAATCTGGTTACCAATATTGAAAGAGGAAGTTATTAATAAGAAAATACCAGTATTAGTAAGACAGTAACATATAGAGGATACATCATTTATGTTTTTTAAATAACGTAACATATAAAATCAGAATTTTGATGTTTGTTGAAGGTCAACTAAATTCACGAACAAATACTTACAATTTCGGGATAGTATTATGAGGTTTTTTTCCTGGTTTTTCCCTCATAATTTACTATGGAATCACTAGCAGGAGAATTTTACTGTCATCATGTCATGTGTTTGTCTTTTTAAAGACGAATTACATACTATGATTTTTTTCTGACGGATATTCTCAAGTTAAAGTTGATTTCATCTAATCGAATGAACTATCTTATAAGTAAAGTCGTTTCAGGAGCGCAACTCAACAATATTGGCAATATCATTTTAAAGTCGTCTACTTTAAAATGTATAATGTATGTCTGAATTGTCAATATAAATGAGTCAGATAAAATTAAATTATTAGAAGAATTTTTCACTATGTAACAAAAAACAAAATTTGTTTAATTTACTGTTTGTATTTAGAGAACGATTTCCGAAGTGGAAATTGAAACGTCAATAAACGTATTTTTATCTTTAATTGTGGCTTATTCCCAGTTTAATAGTAATTAATTTACAATGCCACAAGAAAATAGCTTCAGAACAATATGATAGGTACTATGTTTATAAATACTTAATGTAATATTCAGATGAAGCTACATTTTGTCTTAGGGAACATTCTTGTTGTTTTTTAAACAAATATTTAAAAATTGTTACACTTTCTATATTGAACAAATTATTTCACAAACCCTATAAATTCTTTATTGAATGCCCTTGACAATCGCGCAGCTCCCTAAACCTTGGTGACCTCCCACGTAGGAATGAAATAGTATATACCAATAGAATAATATATAATAAATTATACATATATATATATATATATATTATATATATATATATTATATATATATTATTCGGATAGATTTCCGCGGTCAGATGAATGAAAATCACTAGGTTCTTGGGAAGAACCGCGTTGAGAATTTAATGCTCGACGTTTCGGCTCCCATTTTGGAGCCATTATCAAGAGGGATACGGTTCGGTTCGAGTTCGGGGTCTCAATCTGCCTACTCCCCTCACTCGAAACGTACCAGTATCGTGTTCTGTATTATAAATACGAGAACTGTCTCTCGGCACTGAGGTCTCAATCTGCCTACTCCTCAGTGTCGAGTGACAACCGGTCTTACCCTGTGACGCTGCTTTTATACTCGCTGTACGCGCGGGAACGTTATGGGCTGACGTGGTCTGAACTGACGTGGCCTGAACGGTGTGGGCGGTGTGTGGGTATTTAAATACGCGCGACGACGCGAAACGATTGCCGCCAACATGGCGACCCCTACTTCAGCGAGTCTGCAATCACTTTTATGAAGGGCCAATCTTTTAACTTAACCTTTGGCCAGTCTGACCAATATAAACTAGGCCACATTCACGTGGGATGCCATATATTACGTTGGAACGTTGTAAGGTAGGAGTAGCATCTTTTAATCGGGTGTAAAACAAGTTAAGTGTTTTTTGGTTGTAAGTAGATATTTTTATATTGAATTCACCAAATAAACTAATGAGTGATCTAGAGAGATTTGTATAAAAGGTAGTTTACCATATCTCGTATGAGTATCAACTAGAGTAACATTCTGATTTGCATCTTTGTTTACAATAGGATTAGAGAATAACAATTTGTTAAGCAGTTTTTTTGTATATTGATTAGATAACAATATGTCATATAACATTTTAATGTTTTTGTTAACAAATTTAGGATGGCAAATCTTAGTAATTCTATTTTTCATTGCTAGAACAACATTAATTTTCTGTTTTTCGGGATGATAGGAATTGTATGGAATAAATCTCCCGGAATTACTGTTTTTACGATACCAATCAAGGCAAATCAAATCACTTTCAGTTCTAACAACTAAAGTATCTAAGAAAGGGACCGATGAGTTAGACTCCTCATCCACTGTGAATTTTAAGTGTGAATTGTATGAATTAAAGATATTAAGTGTATATTGTACCTGTGATTATCATGTGGAACGGCCATAATGGCCTTAGGGAACGAAGCACCCTAGTTTTATTTTGCTTCCTCAGTTATAAAAGGGTATCTCCCAGTATTATCTCCTTTTTACTATATATATATATATATATTATATATATATATATATATATATATATATCTATATATATATATATATATATATATAAGTATATATCTATATATATACAAATAAATTTATATGTACAGTGCAAACACCCGACAATTCTAGTTACGGTAAGACCAATAATGTTTTTTAATAGATAATATATGGTAGCTAATTATAATTTATTCTCTTTTCAGTCCTGAAGAAGCCAAATTAATTCTCTTTGGCTAAATGTCATGTGGAATCATGTGGAACGGCCATAATGGCCTTAGGGAACGAAGCACCCTAGTTTTATTTTGCTTCCTCAGTTTATAAAAGGGTATCTCCCAGTATTATCTCCTTTTTACTATATATATATATATATTTATATATTTATATATATATATATATATATATATTTATATATATATTTATATATATATATATATATATATATATATATATATATATATATAAGTATATATATATATACAAATAAATTTATATGTACAGTGCAAACACCGACAATTCTAGTTACGGTAAGACCAATAATGTTTTATTAATAGATAATATATGGTAGCTAATTATAATTTATTCTCTTTCAGTCCTGAAGAAGCCAAATTTAATTCTCTTTGGCTAAAACGTTCGGCGAAAACAATTGATACTCATAAGAGTTTTTCTTGCAGATTTCCCCAATATTTAAGAGTTTACTATTTTAACTAAGTTAACTTATTTGCAAAGATTAACTTATTTCTTTTCTATATATATATATATATATATATATATATATATATATATATATATTATATAATATCTAAAGGTTATATGTCACGCCTACCAGCATACGAGCCGCCATTGGTAGCGCTGTTAGTAGTTTAGTTTTAATTTGGAAAGTAATATCGTGTTTTAAATAAATAGTTTTTCATAAATAAGAACCGCCCTTTTTTTTAATGTTACAATACTTACTATCACTATCCACATTATCGAAGTAATAAATTCCTTGAGCTGTTTGAGAATTTTCTCCATCTATAACTAATCGATTGAGAATTACATCTTGAAAGTTATGTTTATCATAAAACTTAATATTCAAATTGTTTTTTACTGCTAATCTATCAAATATTGCTTCATTGATAATTCCCGGTTTATCCAAATTTACTATATTTTCAGGAATCGTATTTGAAATACGTTTGCTCTAAAAAATTATTTCAGTGACCTCCAGAGTAATGAATTATTATTGATACCTACATGAAATATGTTGGTTTGTAGACCTGAAAAGAATGTCTTCATTCCTCTAACCGTACGTCCTTTTCATTCTTATCTACAATGGCATCATTAAGTGCAGAAATATCCTCGTCATTGATTTCGGCCGCATCTATATTATCTAATACGATAGCACTCTTGGTTCGTAAATTAAGGAACCTTTTTTGGCCGGTAATTGTCTAAAACAGAAAGTTTAAAAAGTATACCTACTCTTCCTTTACTATGCTTTACCTGTGGTTCATCTGACTCTGACAGCACTGCATCTTCCAATAAATCCTGGATGTTTGTTCCATTAACATGCTTTATTGTGTTAAGATTTTTTAATAACACACTTTCAGAAATATTAACCTGTTGAAAAATGAATTTAAGTATTTATTAAAATAAGAAAAATGATGGTACTTACTGGTGCATGAATAACATTGCGAGAATCCAGGTTTACAGCCTTCTCGAAGATTCGGTACAAAATCGATTTTTCATCGAGCAGAGTGACGTTTCCCTTTATTTCAACTTTGGTCCATTTTTGACTTGGAGGATCAGCTAATTCTTTTTTTATAAATTCAATACTACAAGGAGTAAATGTGGAAGCATTGATAGATGGAAGGACCACTTCAGAGAATACTGTTCCGTTCGGTACATACAAGATTTGGAGTATTCTACTGCGTGTATTTATTATGTTTTTGACCGTAATGTTGTTAATTTGTGGTGTTAGCAGGTTACCTAAAATTAAAAATATTATAAAATTATATTAAGGTTTTGTAGTCTAGATAGACTGATAAACGTCTTTTCTTGGATGGAACTCAATAAAAACAACTATTACAGAAGCAGCAGAGAAATCTATCGGAAGAACGAAAAAAACAAAAAAGAAAAAATGGTTCGACGACTTATGTGAAAGAACTCTAAAAGAAGCAAACAAAAGAAGAATTGATTATCTGTCGAATCCATCAGAAGAAAAACGTATACGATTCCACAGGGAGAGAGCCGCAGCTAGAAGAACACTTAGACAGAAAAAGAGACAATACCTGCAGCAACAAATCGAAAAAGTAGAAGGAGAACATAGACGAAATCAAAGTAAAAATTTCTACAGAGAGGTAAGACAACATAAGAGAGGCTCGTATATAAGCACACCCAACTTTGTAAGAGATAAAAATGGAGAAATACTGGCTGCTGAAAACAAAATAATAGAAAGATGGGCTGAATATTTTGATGAGCTTGGATGGAAGAAGCATGGAAGAAATTCCGCATGCCATAAAAACGCTTAAAAACGATAAATCCCCTGGTCTGGACAATATGATGCCGAGCTAATTAAAACAGGCGGTCATGAACTCATAAGTAAAATCCATCAATTAATAGAAATGGCCTGGCAACAAGAAATAATGCCGAAAGAATGGTGTGGTAGTATTATTGTACCAATACACAAGAAAGGAAAAAAGGAGTCATGCATGAATTACAGAGGAATCTCACTAATCAACACTACATATAAAATATTGGCTTCGATATTATTAAAAAGATTAGTACCATACGCCGAAGAAATAGTTGGTGACTACCAGTGTGGTTTCAGGCCTGGCAGATCGACTATAAGATTACAATGCTTGAAAAGTATTGGGAATATAATCACGACGTGCATCAGATTTTTATAGACTTCAAACAGGCTTATGATTCCATTAATCGTGCAACATTATGGAAGGCAATGATCGAGCTCGGCATACCCAAGAAACTAGCTGCGGTAACACAAATGTGTGTAAGTAACTCTTTTGCACAAGTTAGAATAGGGGGAAAAATATCAAATGCTTTTTGCGTTAATTCTGGACTGAGAGAGGGAGATCCGTTGTCCCCATTGTTGTTTAACCTGGCGTTAGAATATGTCATGCGAAAAATATATCCAAAAATCAAACCAGACATAACTGCTCGGGAAGCAAAAATCATACTCGCCTTTGCAGATGACGTAGACGCAATAGCACAATCAGCATTAGAAATTAAGGATATCTTCTCGAGCTTTGAAGAAGCTGCATTAAACATCGGTCTAAAAATAAATGAAGACAAAACAAAATACATTGTCATTAACAAAACATTACCATAAATGATCACAACTTAGAGCGAGAAGTTAAAACGAGAATAATGGCAGGAAATAGATCTTTCTTTGCAATGCAACATCTGATGAAGTCGAAACTTCTTTCACGAGGTGCAAAGATCCGGATATATAAGACCATAATACGACCAACAGTCGCGTATGGAAGCGAAACATGGACGATAACAAAAAGAGAAGTAAATAAATTGCTGGTATGTGAACGTAAAATTCTTCGAATGATATATGGCCCTTACAGAGACAGCGTGACAAACGAATGGAGGGGCAGATACAATAACGAGCTAGAGTCTCTATTCGGAAAAGCAAATCTAGTCAGATATATAAAGGCCAATAGACTCAGATGGGCAGGACATGTGATACGCAGTAACGACAATCGCCTTATAAACAATGTGTTCTGGGAAAGGCCAGATGGAAGAAGGTCTGCAGGGCGGCCTAGAAAAAGGTGGAAAGATGTAGTCAGAGAAGATCTAGAGGAGATGGGAGTGCGACAATGGGAATTACTGGCACAGGAGCGACAAACATGGAAGGCAATAGTAAACGCGGCAAAGACTCACGAAGAGTTGTAGCGCCATTGATGATGATGATGATAAACGTCGGAAAAAATTGAAATTTCATGTCATAGGTTTTAAAGATTGCTTACTAAAATTGAAAATTTTACTACGACTGGTCAATAAAAGTGATCAAATTTTTGATCTCACGTGAGTCGTAAAAAATGTCAAAAACCGCGCCACATTTATTTATTTAACACCTTTACCTATAAATCTGAGTTTATTTGCGGCAAAATACCAAAATTGCATACGAAAGCTGAACTCTTTACCTTTAAAGCGCATCTTGAGTTTTGTCTATAGGCCACGTGGATCAAAAGATATCGATTTTTTTGCCGTTGAGCTGATACAAATTTGATTGAACATTGATTTCGCGCGCGTAACCAACATTCAAAATCGACGATCGCTTCAAGCGTTGTTTCTAAGCGTAACGGTTCATTCGCAAAAAATGCTTATTAATATTTTTGTTTAAAATTATCTCAGCTACATTTTTTATTTGAAATAATTTTTTTACGACGTACAGATTTTTGGTATATCGATTTTTTTGCATGGGGGGTTTTAGGGGAAGCCCGTAAGTTAAAGTGAAGGATCTTTTATTAAACGAGGATGCCAGTGAAGAAGATTTATTTTCAGAAATGGAGAACAGTGATAGCTACACCAGGAAGTTTCCAGACCTGAACATACAGTACGAGGAACGTATACAAACAACGGTGGCTGACTCTGTAGAAGACGAGGTGGTTTCTAGGATATATGGTAATAGTGTATACAGCAGCCAAACTAAGCGAAAATTCAAATTACCTTTTTGGTCACAGTTCCAAAAAGTACATAATGATACGGACATAGACTTGAACGACAAAGTTGAGATGAGATTATAGCTTATATTTTATTTATTTTCACTGATTAATGTTTGAGACACTTTGTGTCTCAAACTTTTTTTATCATCTATAACCTTACCCACCCCAAATGAAGCTCCCAAACTGAACAACGTGGTCTTCGTTAAGTATTAGTGAACAAAAAGCTTTTTATTATATACTTTTGTCAGCTTTTTCGACACAATGTTTTTACGAAACAAAAAACTTACATGTAAAAACATTTATACTAATTTTTGTATCCCAAACTCAAATATCACGATAAATCCGGCGCTGCAAAATCCTTTAAGGCTCTATTATAAATAAATATAATTACCTGTCTTGATATTTTCAAAAGTAAATGGTGCTCTAATTTTCTGTTTGCTGTGTCTAGTCAATACTCTTTGGGTGATATTCGCAAGATCTAAATCATTAATAAAGGAAGCGATTAAATTGTTCACCTTGATTTCTTTAGAAAATTTAATTTTGTCCAAAAATCCATGTTGTCCAATATGTGGTGCCTAAAACAACAGCAAATCAAATTATTGATATTGGACACAATATTTAGTTAGAGAAGCTATGAGTACCTACATGTTTTAATAAATCTTGATAGGAAATGTCATTCAGTGAGGAAATATTCTTGATGTGGTCAATACTAACGTTTCCATTAATGGTTAAAATATCTAATGTATCAGTGTTATTTAACAATTCCCCAAGTGAGTAGTATAAGTGTAAATTGTGGCCATTGATATTTTTTATTGTAAGATTGGTTACTGAAAGAAAAAAATACATAAAAGAAAAAAATAAATAAAAAATTAATGAAAGAAATAACTAGAATGGATAGTGAGCTCAAATTACTAATTTGTTTATATAGGCATGATTAAGTTTATAGTCACTGGCTTTATGTTTGTTTTTATCACTGTAACATGTTAATTCTGAAATTTTCAAATCTCTCTCGATTAGATGATTGGGCACGTATCACGGGGTATCTGTTAATATAACGTTAATCTTATTTTGTAATCTTAGAAGGATACCTTAAAAGAAATCTTAGGAGAGTTACTACCAGTGATAACAGTGGGGAAGAAATGTGAAAAAATAGAAACAGGCAGGAAGAAGATGAAATGCTATTCAGAGAGAAGTAAGCTAACCAAAAGATCACTCAGCAAGGTTAGAGTCCAAAATGAAGATATGATGCAAATAATGCGAGAAATTGAGAACAAAATAATGACATGATGGAGGAAATCAAAAACTTACAAAAAGAAAGAAGAAAAGTAAAATAAAAATATGGGATTAGAGAAGGGTCTGAAGGAAGCAAACGAAAAAATAGAACAATTAGAGAAAACTGCAAAGAAAATTTAATAATAATTTTAAAGGTATAAACATTCAAAACAAAAATAATAAACCAATCAAAGGAATAGATCTCGATTTACACATTAAACGTTCAGAAGCTGAAAAAAAAAGGTGAAAGATATTTGCAGCAGAAATGGGAGATATGTCAGACAAGATACAGGTGTTAAGGAACAAAAGTACACTGAAAGATATTACAGACCATGAAATTTACATTGAATCGGATCTCAACAGATAGGAGAGTGAAATTCAAGCTAAAATTATAAAAGCAGCCAAACATGAGAGAGAAAAGAGAAACAAAACAAAGATAGCACATATGAAACTGAAAATAATTGTGATGGTATGGAAATGGGACAGCGAGAAGGAAAAATTGGTACAGAGAAGCCAAACAGAACTCCTCAAGAATGGAGATCAAGTATCCTAATCCTCCGCCTTAATCATTTCTCCTTCGTAAGGATGTAGTGGCGTCATGTAATTTGTTTAACTTTTTTTGTCCAATTATCTCCCTCCTGTGCGTGTTGTTTTGCTTCGGAAAATGAGTAACCAGTCATCTCCTTTATTTGGTCCGACCATCGTACTGGAGATCTTCATCTGGATCTTTTACCCGCTATTAGCATCCTAATACCTCTCGTCAAAAAGGGATTCAAATCGGGCTCGGAAAATTACAGAGGAATTAATTTATTAAACACAACACTAAAATTAACAACAAAAGCGATAACAAATAAACTGAATAAAATTATAACACTAGCAGAGGAACAACAAGGTTTTGGGTCGGGAATATCATGCACTGACGCTATATTTATAATGAGGCAAGTGCAAGAGAAATCGTTAGAATATGACAAATCGACATATCTATGTTTCGTGGACCTTTAAAAGACGTTTGACCAGGTCAAATTAGAGGACGTTATCCACTTATTGTAGTCAAGAGAGATACCTCTAGGAATAATCAACATTATCGAAAAAATCTACCAAAACAACACAATAAAAGTAAAAGTAAAAGAATAACTAACTGACTAGTTGGAGTTGGCAATTGAGGAGTTCGCGTGCAAAACCGGATATATCCACTTTTTACACAAAATCATGTTTTGGTGGTTTCTAAGTGAAGGAGTCTAAGCCATGATATCTATAGGTCTACATATTGATTTGCAACCAAAACCGTAAAAAGAGTTAATTAAAGTTCGACCTTTGGAGTAAAATTGGTTATATCCAAATTTTGCAGGCAAAAACGGATATATCCAAACAAGACTGTGCGTATTCTGTTGCAATTTTTAGTTCGTTACTGACATTGGTTATGATCACACGTGCTCTCAATCGTGCTTAATAAAAGTAGTGTATTTAAGTTTTACGTTAAAAATTGTATATTATGGAGGAGGATATTAGTGTAAGTGAAGGAAGTGATGGAAGCAGGAAAAGAAAAAGACGCGAGAACAAAAGGGAAGCGAGTACAAAGCAAAAGTAAGGTTAGCTTTTGTTTTAACATTGCGATTATACTAATTTTTTTTGTAATTTTAGGTATTTAGATCCCGACCCTAGATTAGAAGGTTTTACACGTCCTTGTAGTCATGATGGTAAAACATATGAATGCTGCAAAGTGAGTACGCAAGATATTATAAGTCTTAGAAAACAGTTTTATAGTAACGGAGAGAAAATCCGCCAGGATATGTTTTTATGTAAATATATGTCTGTTGTGCCAGTTAAACGACGCAGACAAAATAAGGAAATGAAAGAAAGGAACGCAACAGTTTTTTACATGTTAAAGTCTGATAAAAATATGGTTAGGGTTTGCAAAACTTTTTTCTCTGCTGTTTTTGGCGTAACTAAACACAGACTTGTCACTGTTACAAAGGTTTTGGAGAAAGAAGGTGTTCCGAAGGAGAAAAGAGGAGGTGATAGAGTATCCAAGAAAACTGCTTCAAAAAAAGAAAAAGTACGACAATTTATTGGTTCTTTGCGTGGTAAAGAAAGCCACTACAATGGAAAAAAATCGAAACGTATATATCTTTCTGCAACTCTTTCTGTTGCAAAGCTGCATTAAATGTATAACATGCAATGTAATCCTGAAGATCAAGTAACCTACGATATGTTCAGAAATATATTTTTAAATGATTTTAATGTCGGCTTCTCATCCCCTGCGTCAGATGTGTGTTCCAAGTGCACCAGGTTAAAAGAGCAATTAAGACACACAAGAGACCTACAGCGAAGACAAAACCTCATTATGGAGTACCGCGTCAATAGAAAAAGGGCAAACACTTTTTATGAACTCGCCCAAGAAAAACCTAATAATAGCATTACCTTTTGTTTCGACCTTCAGCAAGCTCAACCGCTACCCCGAACACCATATTTATTCTTATCAAATTCGTTGGTATGCTTTTTGCTGCGTTCCTATGACGTCTCGTAATCCGATATTCTATGTCTGGGCCGAAGATTTGACTGGAAGAGGGGCCATTCAAATTGGTTCTGCTTTATTTCATCATCTTCAAAGTTTGAATTATGAAGGAGTACATCTTCTCAGACTATTCTGCGATGGATGTGGAGGGCAGAATAAGAATTTACACATCATTCACACCCTAATATATTGGCTTAAAAACCAGTCCCCAGATAATTTGACAGAAATAATAGTAACATTTCCAGTTCGAGGGCATAGCTTTCTACCTGCGGACCGATAATTCGGTAGAGTTGAGAAAATCTTGAAAAGACATCCAGTCATAACGCCTAAAGAAAAATACATAGAAATGTAATCGGAAGTAGGGTCGGTAAAAACACTTAGTTCTGACTGGCAAATGTATGATGTTAAAGAACTGGAAAAACTGTATAAGAAAATAAATGGAATTTCTGAATGCAAAAAATCCACTTAAAAAAATTTGTAAATAAAAATAATGAAACTACTAATAAAGTAAAAAAGTTTCAATTTCATCGGTTCACAGCATCAGGTGACACAACTTGGGAGTCGCTTGTAAAGAAGGAAAATCAGAAAATATACGGCTAAGTATGTTACCATTGAGTAATTCAATACCAGATAAGAAGAAAAAAAGTTTGAATCACTTGATGAAAGAGCATTTTGGTGAAGATTGGCAAAACAGGGAAGATCTTTTGTGGTACAAAAATTTATTAGACAGTAACGGAGAAGAAACGGTAGATATTTCGGAAAATAATGAAACCCAAAAAGATGGAGACAAGCTATGCGTTTGCCGAAACGAAGAGACTGCAATACATATTTCAATTTGTTTAATCTATTTTTGCCAATATTACTTTAACTGACTTGTTTTGTTTATTTAATGAAAAATAAATAATCTTTTTCGCTCACAGTGTGTCATTTTGTGTGCAAAACCGGATATATCCAATGTTTTTTTTGCTAATAACGCCGAGTTGTTTACTTTTTTTATAAAAAATATACGTCGTTCAGTTAGTAAACCCCATTAAATTAAAACTGTTTTCTCAAATTAATATAATTTTTTAAAATAAGTATGTAGGGTATTTTTTTCATCTCCTGAAAACACTTTAAAAGTGGATATATCCGGTTTTGCACGCGAGCTCCTCAATTGTTCAACCCGATTTTACTGAAATAATAAAAAAGTAGAACTAAAAAAGCATACCAAATGGGAGAACAAGAACTTAAAATAATCTGCTATATAGACAACACAATACTACTCTCTCAAAGTGAAGATGATTCACAACGTATGCTGCACTAATTTAATATAACCGCCAGAAAATGTAGCATGTTAATTTTCCCAAACAAGACAAAATGCATGGTTATAACAGCAAATTTACTAAGACGTAAATTGGAGCTAAGGTTAGATAATAGAACAAGTGATGGAGTTACATTACTTGTTATGTAGTAAATATCAAGGTATCACGTTGTCTAGCTATGGAAAGCTCGAAAGATAAGTGGAAGATCAAATAAATAGAGCAAACAGAAGCACATGTTGCTTAAATGAAACAAACAAAACAGTCATCAGACGAATAATGGCATACGCGGCAGAAACACGACCTATCACAGAAAGGACGAAAAGGATGTTAGAAAGAGCAGAGATGAATATACTTTAAAAAATTGATGATAAGACACTATGGGGCAGAGCTAGAAGTACAGATATACGACGTAGATCAAGGACTGGGTAAGACATCGAAGCGTAGAATGGAACGATCATATAAGCCAAATGACAACAAATGGAGCAGTAAAGACGGCAAGAGAATTACAAACTGAAATTACATGTCTTATGCTGACAAATAATTCTCCCATTAATACATTTTTTGTTTTACTCTCATATTCCGTCTTCGGATTTAACACTTAGCCATTATGCATCTTAATTATATAAAAATAAATATTTTCTAAAATAAAACCTATATAAAACCATTACATAGGTTATATATATATATATATATATATATATATATATATATATATACATATATAGTTTGAGTTTAGTTCTTGAACCAATATATATTTTTTAGTGGATTCTCTTGGGCTTAGGTTCATAAAAAAAATTTAGTTTGCTTCTAAGACATTTTTATATATTTTTTTCTGACGTTTCGGCAGGAAATCCATGCCTTTTTCAAGAATATATATGGACTAACAAAAAACATTTCATGACAGACATAATATGGTTTAAAAAATAAACTTTTAACTTACCAAGCATGTAAAGATTCGATATTAACAATTAGACGTCACAATTAAAATAATATTAAAACATAGGACATACCCACTAACTCCCTACAAGTAAAATGGTATGATGAGAGTTGAAATTCAGATATTTCCTGTCACAAAAGAAATCAGTAGTTATCGGACTCGCTCACTAGAGCTATTAGATTATCCGATCCTATCAATAGACGTCAGGCCATTAAAAAAGCAAAAAACAGCACTAACACTTAATTCATACCCACACCACCTTATCGACAACACTTTCAAATCGCGACTGCATAAATTTTACAATAACAATAATAACAATGAAACCAACACGGTAAAGAAAAACTATATGTCTCTCCCCTATATACAAGGATTATCAGAGCAAATAGCAAATCTTCTGTCTAAACATAATATTACGGTTGCTCATAAAGGTCACAATCTTTTGAAAAGAAATTTTACAAGATTGAAAACAAAAACCCCTCTATTAAAAAGATCGCATGTTGTATATGAAATTCCCTGCTCGAATTGTGATGGAGTTTATATTGGACAAACCAGTCAACTACTTAATTCAAGAATACGTTCCCACAAATATGACAAAAAAAAACTCAATCACCCTCACAAAACATGAAAACGAAAAAAAACATAAATTTGATTTTGAGCAAACCAAGATCCTAAAAAGTGAAACCTACAGGAAGAAGAGAGAGCTTCTAGAGACTATACAAATAAAAAAAAATAACGCAATAACATCAATAAACAACACATTAGATTTAAAATACATTTTACTTGTAGTGACTTAGTGGGTATGTCCTATGTTTTAATACTATTTTAATTGTGACGTCTAATTGTTAATATCGAATCTTTACATGCTTGGTAAGTTAAAAGTTTATTTTTTAAACCATATTATGTCTGTAATGAAATGTTTTTTTTTAGTCCAGATATATTCTTGAAAAAGGCATGGATTTCCTGCCGAAACGTCGGAAAAAAATATATAAAAATGTCTTAGAAGCAAACTAATTTTTTTTTTATGAACCTAAGCCCAAGAGAATCCACTAAAATATATATATATATATATATATATATATATATTATATATATATATATATATATATATATATATATATATATATATAAAGTGTAATCAATAAACTTGTAAATAGTTTTTTACGTACCATTAAGGATATGGAAGTCCAAATTGCTAAAGTTATGTTTTTGATCAATAAAAACGTACTTTTCTCGTATATTGTCCAATAAAACATCATTTATAGATATAATATTTTTCAAATCGCAGTTTATATCACCTTCCACTATCAAATCCTTGATAGTTTTTCTCCCTTAAACACAACAGTAATTCAACATATTATTGCCATTGCTGTTTTTAGCCATATTTTTTACCTGTAACATTTATTAGTGCTTTGGTATTTATGACATCAGAAACATTAATATCCCCTAACATTTTAGTTTCTAGAATATCGATTCTAAGAGTGTCCAAGTAATTTTTTTTTCCATGTATGGTTTGCCTAAAAAGAGTTTATATTATTGTTTATTGGCAAAGCATTTATTTTTGTTAATGTATGAGTTGATAACTATATATTTACCTCCCACTTCTCTTAACAGCTTCACTGGAGATTTTATTCAAATCAGGAATATGTGAGCCTGCTTCACTAAGTATAACGTTTCCAAGAATAGTAACGTTAGAAAAGGAAAAATCGCTCTCTAACTTTTCGGTATTATCGTTTAATAAAAACTTCGTAATTTTGACTCCATTTAATAATTCCGTAATCAAATGCGGGGTATTTAATGATTTAATATGTGGCTTTACTGGGATTTCCTAAAATAGTAGACGTTGAGAAACTTAAAAATTCGTTATACAAATTGGTAATAAGAGGATTCCTGACCTGGAAGTTAACCAGTATAATAGGAAATATTGGCTCTTAAGTGGATTTTAAGTTAAATATACCGCTGAAAAATTACAAGAGTGAGTTGGTGAAGTTTCTGAGTAGGAGTAACATCAGAGACTCTGTAAGTCAGCTTATATTACATCAATTATTAGTAATAAACAAAAATATCTATTTGGCAACATAAGAACCATTGAATATTTCAAATATAAACAAGAATTTCTTATCTTTTTTGTTTATGCACCGACTTAATTGCCTTGTTATAGTTTGGATACAGGACCGCATTCAGATCTAATGACTAGTTTCAAAGTTTATTTAAATGGATGATATTTAGGTAGTGAAATATAGCTCAGGAAATGAGCTGTATTTCACTACCAACACACCATAAAGCTCAGGAAATGAGCTGTATTTCACTACCAACACTTAAAAAATCGTACTATTCAGTAACCAGTACTCTTAATTTTCCATCCAGAAAGCAAGCAAGCAAGTATTTAGTTCATTAGAAAATGTGAAATTAGAAGATTACCTTGTATGACTAGTATCAGTTATTTCTTCAAAAGATATATTGTTCTCTTCTCGTATAGCTAACAAGAGGATTTGTATTTATTTATCTAAGGAAGAATTAGTTGACAAATTTATAAATGTTTTGAGGAAAAATCATAGTAAGCAATCAAATAATACAAGGAAGAAGATTAATTATTTCTAGCGAACGACTAATATTATCCAATGTATGTCCAACAATTCCATATAGTATTCTAGAATCAGAACTACAGAAACTAGGCTTTAAACTTATGTTTTCCCTATCATTCCTTAGAATTGGCACATCTCGTCCCGACTAAGGTCACGTCTCGGCACACGTACTAAGTTTTCGTAGACAGGTATATATTTCACCTTTAGTGGACCTAATACTTCCTGAATCCTTGTTAATTTGTCATGACAATACAAAATATAGAATTTTTATGTCTGTAGACCAATACTTCTGTTATATTTGTAAAAAGATTGACCATATCACCTCAAACTGTCCTCAAAGCAACATTATAACCGACGTAACACAATACTCAGTACAAATCCATTCAGAACCAAATTATTTAGTACAAGACACTCAATCTAAACAATACAAAAATAAAGATGTAGATGTAAATAAACCAAGGCCAAAAAACGATAAGCCGCTTACAAATGAAGCTATAAACGTTAATGAAATAGGATTAGAAACTAATAAATCATTGATCACTTCACCAATTAGCACAGAACCTACACTGCAAACACAGAGCAAAAGAGCTTTCTCCGAAACAGTTACACCACCTGAAACTCCTGAATACTTTATACTACCTGATAAGGATACAGGTTCAAAACAGAAGAAAACTATCCCAACAATAGATTCTATTGATATACAGAAATTGATGAAGCCAACAAAAGTATTTTTTGAAGACGACGTAAACGAAAGTGTTCTTAATTACCAAGAAACGATACATTTTTTTGAAAACGCGTACGGTTCACCTGACCCATTAAGTGTTGCTCAAACTTTTACAAAAGATATTGAGGGGTTACTACAATTATTAGACAACATCTACCCTCTGTTCAATGAAAGAATAATGAAAATACGTTGCACAAAGATTAAGCGCAAAATATCCAAATTGGTGGATACAAATACCTCCTCTGAATTAGAAAGCGATCAAGTGCAAGAATAAAAATTAACATATAGAACCAAAATGTCAATTCTTCAGTGGAACATAAACGGTTACTATACACAACTAGAAATGTTTCAATTATTAATTACTAAACACTCACCTTGAATAATATGTCTCCAAGAAACGAATTTTACTGACCAAAAATTAGCAAAACTAAAGGCATTTACATCATTAAAACAGACGTGATTTTAAAAAAGCCAGGTTTCTATTTATTAATATATAATATAATTTATATATATTTATATAATAACTCATTGAAATCTAGACAACTACCTTTAAAGACCAACCTTGAAGCAATAGCAGTAAGCATAAAAACTCCAAAAATTATTAACATCTGTAACATTTATTTTCCACCGAATACTGATATAAGTATAAAGAGATATATAAGAGATAATAAGGTTATTCCACAAATATACGACTAATTTGGATTATTGCGACAACGAATATTTTACTGTGCAAGTATAAGTTTGAAAGTAAATTGGTCTAAACAGTATTCCAATAAAATGGATCTACTGTTAGTTTGACACTTAAACTAAAATTATTTCAGTTAATAGATATTGTGTTCATCAGTTATTGTGAAATTTAATCCGAAAATAACAAAATTTTTTACGCAAACGGTCCTACAAATAAATACAATGACATCTATAAAGCCAAAATGAGTTCATAAAACATTTGGGTTGGGTTTCCGTGAAATGTAAATACCAAAGAGGCCTGCCGGGTTTCTTTGATATTACACTATTTTATTACTTTATTAGGTACTGCAACTGTAATAAAAGTAATATACTATTTTTAATATAAATGAAAAGAAATTGGCAAAACGATGGTTCAGAAACCAGAAAAAGGATCTAATATTTCACTTTGTTAGTTTTAAAAATTTGTTTACTTTGCTTGGATGTACTCGTTAAAAGTTCCTAAAGTAACGGGTATAACATACCAGCTATTGATAGTTAAAGTACTGAATCGTTATAGATTAAAAAGTAACGAAAATTTACATACAGTTTTATATTATATCGCCGACTGATTTTAGTTTTAAAAACCATCTGTATAGAGGTGTCCGGTGAAGAGAGGTGCCGTTAAGAGAGAGTTTAGTGTAGTGTATTTGTTTATTGAAGTTAAAAATGCCAGGACGTTTTTTAGATATAGACAACTTTATATTTAATGTACTTTCTCATTGTAAAGTTCTGTGAATCTGATGATTGATGATAGTTTTAGGAGGTTAGAAGAATTAGAAAATAAGTAAGTTTTTTTTTGTTTTTTTAATACTAATTGAATATTCGACTAAATAAATTACACTATTTAATCACCTAAGAATTGTTACACTTCATTTAAATCACTTAATTCAAAAACCAACTTTTTTACAATACTAATCTCAATGATAGTAATTATATACTTCAAAATCTGAATTACAACTGTTTTATAAAATATCAACTCTATATTTATATCATGACTTCATATTTAAATCTAAGGTTTATATCTGTAATAAGAGTATTTTAAAAATGGGGAGAATTTAGTATTATACAATTCAGCACATTGGACCATTTACATCGACACCTTAAAGAAAATTTAAAACAGTCGTATATTCGTGGAATGGAGATAACTCATATTATAGAACAAATTCCGTTCTTTCTTCAAATTATTTTCCTGAAAACACTAGTTGTATTGACTTATCTCTTGTAGACCCTTCTTTAGCACAAAACATAACTTGGGAAGCTAGTACACAATTGTATGGAAGCGATCATTTTCCCATAGTGATACATTTCGAAAACAAACAAAAATTCAACCATACACTACATGTAATACAGAAATAGAGGATTGGTCACCGTTTACACAATTTGTGGAGAATCAATTGAATTATTTTTCAGATCCATCCCCGCATGGCAATATAAACGACTTAGTGAATAAATTTTCCTCCGTCACACTTTCCGCAGCAGATCATATTATTGGAAAAAAGAAAATAGTAAGAAATCGTATTGGAGTACCATGGTGGAACAATCACTGTCAGGATGCTATAAAGAAGACTCACGGAGCATTCAATAAATACAAAAAACAAAAAACACAAGAAAATCTTCTAGAATTTAAGAAGTTAAGGGCTATTAATATAAAAGTGGTAAAAGAAGCAAAAAAGAAATCATGCAAAAATGTTTTATCAACAATGAACAGTTCTACCCCAGCAGCAATAGTGTGGAAAAAAATTAATAAAATTTCGGGACGCCACACAAACTTATTAATAAGATTTTTAGAATATAATAACAAAGTTCATACATCTAGATCGGGAATAGCCAATGTATTAGCTTCATCCTACGAGTCATATTCAAGTAACGAAAACTTTTCTCAAGAGTTTTTACAAGTTAAAACCAAAGAAGAATTACAAGAATGTAATTGTGATAAAAGCAATAACCTACCAATAAATGCACCAATACTAGAGGAAGAGTTAACTGAATCTATAAATTCTAATAAAAACTCTAGTCCTGGTCCAGATGATCTCTCTCTCTCTCTCTTCAATCCTGACCCCCCAGGGGGAGTGTAGTGGTCGACGTGATGTCGTGTATTGTCCGTCTCCAGAGATCTCTGTCTCTGGTCATTTCGTTTAATTCATGCATAGGTCTTTGGCATATTCCTGTAATTTGATCTATCCATCTTGTTGGGGATCTTCCTCGTGATCTTCGGCCTTCTACCTTTCCTTGTATTATGAGTCTTTCCATGTTTTCTGTGTTTCCTCTCATAACATGCCCAAAATATTTTAATTGTTGGAGATGGACTTTACTAGAGAGTCGTTGGCTAACTTTTAGCTCTCTTAAAATTGAATTATTTGTTCTACGGTCGGTCCAAGGAATTCATAACATTCGTCTCCAACAGAACATTTTAGTGGCGTCTATCTTTCTTCTCTCCGATTGTCTCAGAGTCCAAGATTCACATCCGTAGGTCAGTATTGGGAATATTAAGCAGTTGATCAACCTCATCTTTATCGCTCTTGACATTTGACAGTCCTTCCATATTTTGGTCATTTTTGCTATGGCAACTTGTGCTGGTCCAGATGATATTCCTATCATTTTCCTTAAAAATTTGCCTAAAAATGGATTTGCCTCAAAAACCAAATATGGCTTGAAGGAGTGTTTCCACGTACTTGGAATAATGTTTATACAATACCTATCCTTAAACCTGGTAAACCACATTCAGACCTAAACTCCTACCGTCCAGTGTCATTGTGTAACCAACGTCTTATTTGGATACTCGGGCAAAGATCT